CCCCCCACTTTCTCTACCTTACTCTAAGGAGATTTTGTTCTGTACAAATTCTGTAGACAAAACCCACAGGTACATTGTACAAAGAGCCCAGAGGTAATAAATCTTAGCCAAAGGAGCCAAGGTAGACATCTGAATAGGTAAAATAGGCCCAGAGCCAAGGCTTTCTTGAAGCCTCAGTGAACAGAACACAAAAAAATGGAAAGAACGAAAGGTCACGAAGGTCATCCGATGAAGAGGAGAGAATTTGAGATCCCATGAGGAAGTAAGGCGGGATCTACCACCATAATATTCCTCAAAATAGAGACCACGCCTCAATTTCCGCCCCGACTCCACCTGCTATGAATATTGTAATGTAATGATGCAATAATATGAATATGCATATGACTATGTTGTAATCATTGTCAGAAGCTGTATAAATTGCTTGTTCTATTCAAGCACTGAGGAACCTGTTTTCCCAGCACTAGCTGGCAGGCTAGCCGGCTGTTAAATAAATAAATAAATACCTTGCTGTTTAAAAGGCATAAAATTCTGTCTTTAAACAGTTTTTATTTGCCTTTTTTTGGGCATCAAAAGCTGCTCGGGATGAAATAGAGAGACTCAGAACATCTGGGCAGATGCAAGGACAACTGCAAGATGTGTTTCCCTCAGAGGATCCCAAATGGGATCCCAATTTGCCAGAAAAAAGAGAAACATTGAAACGCTATCAGGATTGGGTGATTTATGGTCTTAAATATGGAATTCCAAAAGCAGTAAATTGGTCAAAAATGTATACAGTGAAACAAGATAAAAATGAATCCCCTACAGATTTTCTGAACAGACTAACAGAGACCGTATGAAAGTACACAGACATAGATATAGAATCAGAAACAGGAAAAAAGCACTTGGTCTTTTTATTTATAGGCAAATCTGCAAATGACATAAGAAAAAAGCTACAGAAAGCAGGTGATGACAAGAGTCATGGTGAATTAATGAATACAGCTAGGACAGTCTATCGAAACAGAGACCAAAAAGGCGGAGGAAAGGAGTAGGATAATAACTACCAGAAACATCACAAACACAATGTCCACCATGAAAATTATAGATCTAGTTACCAGCATGATAAGACCAATGATGTATGTTCTTTTTGTAAAAAGAAGGGACATTGGAGAAGGGATTGTCTGGACTTGAAGAGGAAAAGTGAATTTCCACCTCCTCCTCCAGCCTCCCAACTGACTTTAAGCCAGGATGCATGAAGGGAACCGGAGGTTTCTACCCCAGCAGAACCTCTGGTTGTAGCTAAGCTGGGGGGAGAAGATGTGGAATTTTTAGTTGATACAGGTGCTGCATATTCCGTGTTAAACACCTTGGAAGGGAAACTGAGTCAGGATACTGTAACTGTGGTTGGTACCACAGGGGTAAGTGAAACCAGGCCTTTCTTCAAGCCCTTGAAATTTAAATTGGGGAAACACTGGGTAACTCATCAATTCCTCTATATGCCAAATTCTCCCATGCCTTTACTGGGTAGAGATTTATTAGAAAAACTGGAAGCTGAAATTAAATTCTGTAAGGGGGGAGGAATAAAAGTTATCATCCCTGACACTAAATACATCGAGGCAGCCACCTTCTTCATACAGGAGAACCATGGAGAGATCCCCGCAGAGGTTGAAAATGCTGTGATCCCTTTAGTGTGGGCTAGTGAATATCCTGGGAGGTCCAAACGAGCAGAACCCATAAGCATCACGCTCAAGCCAGGAGCAACACCGGTAAGGCAAAAACAATACCCCTTGAAACTAGAAAGTCGTCAAGGTTTAGCACCCATAACTGAAAAGTTTCTTAAATTTGGCTTATTGGTAGAATGTGAATCTAAATATAACACCCCCATCCTTCCAGTGAAGAAAGCTGATGGTAAGAGCTATCGATTGGTTCAAGATCTGAGGGCAACCAACAAAATAACAGAGGATATATACCCTGTAGTAGCAAACCCCTATACCTTGTTAACCACATTAACAGAGGAATTAGGGTGGTTTACAGTGCTTGATCTAAAAGATGCCTTTTTCTGCATTCCTGTGCACAAGGACAGCCAAGAGCTTTTTGCTTTTGAATGAGAAAATCCCGAGACAGGGAGAAGAACTCAACTTACATGAACTGTCTTACCGCAAGGCTATAAGAACAACCCGATGATATTCGGAAACCAGTTGGCAAAAGAACTGGAAGACTGGAGAAGGCAGCAGCCAGAAGGACTTTTCCTGCAGTATGTAGACGACATACTAATTGCTGCTAAAAGTCGGGAACAGTGCATCGAGCTCACTGTAAGTCTTTTAAACTTTGTGGGACTAAGTGGGTATAGGGTCTCAAAAGAGAAAGCACAAATTGCAAAGGAAATAGTCATTTACCTGGGGCTTGAAATCTATCGTGAACATCGACGGCTCAGCACAGATCGGAAAGAAACCATCTGCTGTCTCCCAGAGCCCCGCACTGTACGAGAAATGCAGGCTTTTCTAGGAATGGTGGGATGGTGTCGCCTGTGGATAACTGACTACGGGTTATTAGTCAAAACCCTATAAGAAGCACTGAAAACTGCGAAGGAAGGAGTTATAACATGGACAGATGAGATCAGAGTTGCATTTAAACAACTGAAACAGTCCTTAATGTCAGCTCCAGCACTGGGACTACCAGACCTAAACAAACCCTTTGAACTGTTTACATATGAGCAACTAAATGTTGCCTTGGGGGTACTGTCACAGACCCTGGGAAACCAGCGAAGGGCTGTGACCTACTTCTCCAAACAACTAGACAATGTCAGCCAAGGATGGCCAGGGTGTTTAAGGGCTGTGGCAGCAACTGTTATCTTGATTCAAGAGGCCCGAAAACTCACCCTGGGACAGCCCATTGTCGTGTATGTACCCCATGCAGTCCAAGCTGTGCTTGAGCAAAAGGAGGGCCACTGACTCTCCCCTAGCAGAATGCTTAAGTACCAAGCTGTGTTGTTGGAGCAGGATGATGTTACCCTGAAAACAACATCTGTTGTAAATCCTGCTATGTTTCTGTCCACAACATTGACTGACAGTATACCTTAACATGACTGCAGACCATCGAGGAGACTTATTCCAGCAGACCAGACCTGAAGGATGAGCCTCTGGAAAACCCAGATTGGGAACTGTACACGGACGGAAGCAGCTTCATGCGGGATGGAAAATGGATGACAGGGTATGCAGTGACAACCAGGGATGAGGTAATCGAGGCAAAGGCCTTGCCTGCTGATGTATCATCCCAAAAAGCAGAACTGATTGCACTGACAAGAGCTCTAGAACTGAGCGAAGGTAAGAAAGTGAATATCTGGACAGATTCTAAGTATGCATTCAGTGTTGTGCATGCCCATGGAACCATCTGGAAAGAGAGGGTGGGATTAAACATGCCGACCAAATCCATGCACTCCTTCAAAGTATCTGGAAGCCAGAAAAGGTATCTGTCATGCACTGCAGAGTTCATCAGAAGGGGAAAACAATTCCCAAATTGGGAAATCATTTTGCTGACCAGGCTGCAAAAAGGGCTGCAGAAAAAGGCATTCTAGCAGTAGTACCACAGAAAAACATCCATTTGACAGGGTACACCCCAAAATATGATGAGAAGGACCACCAATTAATTAAATCCCTTAAAGTTGAAATTAAAGTAAGTGGGTGGGCTGTTACACCAACAGGACAGGTTGTGGTCACACCCCCACTCCTAAGGGAAATAGCTCTGCGGGAACATGAGGCTCCCCACTGGGGAATAGAAAACCTTCTTAAACACCTAAAGAAGGTAGTGATAGGGACAGGTATGACTGAAGTCGTGCAATCCATAGTGAGTAAGTGTGAAATCTGCCAGCAGAACAACCCAGATACAACCAAGAGGGTGGTGCTAGGAGTAACAAAGGCTGGGAACCTTCCCAGAGATTATTGGCAAATAGATTTTGCTGAGTTACCACCGAGGGAGGGGTACAAATACATACTAGTGCTGGTTGACACTTTTAGTGGATGGCCTGAAGCTTACCCGTGTTGCACTAACACAGCAAGAGAAGTGGTAAAAGCTTTGCTTAATCACATAATTCCAAGATTTGGGGTTCCTCTGGGAATGTCATCAGACAGAGGGACACGTTTCATTGCAGTGATAGTGAAGGAGGTGTGTCGTGTCCTAGGAATTGTTTGGGACCTCCACACTCCCTATAGACCTCAGGCAAGTGACAAAGTCGAATGCATGAATGGCACTCTTAAAATGCAAATTGGTAAAATTTGTCAGGAAACATCCATGTCATGGGTTCAGGCTTTGCCTCTAGCTCTACTAAGGATTCGTATCCAGCCAAGGCGGAGGGATAACATAAGTCCTTATGAAATATTGTATGGAAGACCATACCAGGCTCCGCACATTCCAGGGGACATTCACATGAGAGGGAAGGTTGATTTACAAAAGTATTTAATTGCTTTAGGCTCTACTTTACAGAAGCTCCAGAAATTTGTCAAGCTTTCCAGACCTATAGGATTGGACACCCCTGCTCATCAATTCCAACCAGGAGACTGGGTCTACATCAAATGGTGGGACAGTGACCTGCTGCGAGCCAAGTGGAGAGGACCTTTCCAAATCCTGCTGACTTCCCTCACTGCCGTCAAAGTTGCTGGCAAAGGACCGTGGTTTCATTACTCCAGAGTGAAGAAAGCTTCAGTTCCTGGAACTATCAGCAAAGTAGAACCCGACTCAGAGGAAGACGATGTGGCCATAGTCCAAAATGTATCCAAAATTCTCCACAAAGATGACTGCTGGATTTGCACCCAAATACCAGCAATCGATGGTAAAGATGTCAGTTGACCCCTTATTGGCATTTTACTAAACGAAACAAACTTTGGTAAGTCTATGTTAGAACTCCCAGGGACCTGGAAGCCAGTTACTGAGACCTACTATCCAGTAACCCGAGTCACGTAATGTCTGACCAGGACAATTATAATGCCCCCTGCATGGTTGTTAATGCTACAGGAAAAATCATTCCCCCTCCTTACTGTGATAAAAGTAAATCTACAGAAGAAATAGGCCCGAAAGTTGTAACAAGATTGGCACAAGTCCCCTTGAGATTAATTCCCCCCCATGGTTCAGGGTGGTACTGTATTTGTGAAAAGAAGGCTTGGAAAGTTTTGCCCCTTGATAAAGATCAGGCCTGTGCTCTAGGGACTGTAATTCCAAACATAACAATCTTTTACCAAATTGATGAACAAGAGGAATGGGAAAGAACTTATCTAAAAATAATGAAGAGGACAAACAATCCCCTTATTGACCGTCCCACACTCTTTCACAGTATAGTCAGAGCCATGATCCCATCGCTAGGGGTGAGTGAATTGGAAAAAGCAATAGTTAACATCTCAGCTGCAAGCAAAAACATTCAAGATCAGGCTTCAGATGCAATTTCAACTTTACAAGAGGAGGTCCATAGTCTGTCTTGTGTAGTTCTACAAAACCGACTGACTCTTAACATCTTGCTAGCCTCTCAGGGAGGCGTGTGTAAAGTCATCAACACCAGTTGCTGTTCTTACATAGACCAAAGTGGAAGAATTAATAACGATTTGGCTGCAATTCAGAATCAAACTAAAATCCTACACAAGGTATCTCTGGACAATGTCTCACTGGGTTTGGGAGACACACTCCACAAACTTACTTCATGGTTACCGAACTGGACCTGAATTAAACAACTGTTTCTATTGTTAGTGTACATAGTTTGTGTAATAGCTTATTGCATGAACCAATGTTGTAGATGTTAGTCATCTTTTTGGAAAATGATTAGATGTAAGTGATGCCCAGAAAAAGGGGTAGGTGAGTAAAACTGCTCAGAGACAGAATTTTAAGTCCATAAGCAGTAAGGTATCAGTCCCCCCTTTAGAGACTGGAAAAAACTCAAAAATTTTGTCCAATCTCTACTACTTATGAAGCAGGAGGGGTTAATTGAAACACTTTTACTGTAGGCCCATAGGAATCCCTCTAAGATCTTTCCAATGTTTTAATATACACCCAACAGGAGTTTTAGTATTTATTTCTTTTCCATTTTAACTCCCATTATGAAAACAAATTATTAAATCTGTAATATACTAACAATCACAACTATTACATTGCCAAATAATATCTACTCTTCAAATTCAAACAGTACTGTCCCAGTTTAAATGAGACAAGGGTCTTTTGCTGAGGATGGGTTAGGAGAAAAGACCCAAACTTCTCTTTCTAAGCAATTATAAATCCAAAATTAAGAGGCTCCAATTGAAAGAAAACAAATTATGCAAAAAAGGGAAAAACACAGCCCTTTATTAAAAGGTATATGTGTATTAACAGAAACACGAAAAAAAACAAGTAAAACAACCAAACAACACTCCTATACCCACAAATAACCCCTTCAAAAACAAACTGATAAACTGGCAAAAGGAAGAGTAAACAGTTCAATTTTTTGCACCCTTTGGTGCAGTTCCAACCACAGTCAGCAGGGGGCGCCGTCGGGTCACTGGAGATGGAAAACTTGTAATGTCCTGTACCATTCACCAGGTGGCGCTGTTGGATCATCGAAGATGTAGAACTTGTAGTGTCCTATAGTAGCCACCAGGTGGCACTGTTGGATCACTGGAGGTGCAGAACTTGTAATGTCCAGTGCCCATCACCAGGCGGCGCTGTGGGTTCCCTGGTCACTGCCACGTGGGATGGGGAAAAACAATACCCTCCCGCTATGTCAGAGGGAAAGAAAAATACAAACCAAAACCCAGAAAGAACAACTCAGTTCCTCTTCCCTTCCCACATTGGGAAAGGAGAGAGGGAATGGGGGGGAAGGGGGAAGGAAAAAAACCAGCAATAAAACAGAAAGTTTTCCCAGTGGAAGAAAACTCGCAAACTTCAGCTGGTTAGGATTCGCTTTAAGCAGGGCCTGCAGCCAGCAACATCTAAGCAGAGAGCAGCAGCAGCAAACTCCCCTCCGACAGGAAAGAAAAGAACCAGGCAGTGTCTGCAGCTCGCAGCAGGTCCCAAGCCCCAATTATTGCATAAAGTGAGAACATATAATGAACAGTTCAAAAAAGGACAAATTCTAATTCTGGGTCTTGGGCTCCGTGGTGCATTCAAAGTCAAGGCCAGTTATCAGCTTCTCTGTAGAAGGACCCCTTCTTCCTCATCTTTATCTTCTTCACAGCACGTCCAGTCCTTGGAGCGTCTCCAAAGTTCTGCCCTTGAAAGTTGATTTGTCTCTTGTGGGATCTTGTTGTCCAGGTCTGGAGTGCCATGTTGTCCAATAGAGGTGTTTTTCTACAGTTCTACCTTGAACAGAAGTCTAAACATGCTAAAGGAACTTAGAAAGTTTGATATAAAATGGGGGAATAGGGTTGGGAATGTGTAAACTCCTATGCTAAAGGATGGCATATAATACAGCTACATTCCCATCTACATTTACTACACAACTACTTCTAATAGCTACAAAAAGCTAAAAAAGAAAAATAAAAAAAAATCTTTAGAGCATTACACTAACCTTGTTAATTAACTCTACACGTTGAACTGACCCTGCCCAGAAACGCCCTCTAGGTACCATTGAAGGGGATAAAATCCCTGTGGTCCATCTGAAGAATATGTTGGGGAGGAAAGTTTGGATCAGTCCTGCCTTAACAATTCCACCCATGGGATTGTTTCTGTTCAATGACTTGGGTGCACTTGGTGGATGATTCAGAGGGATAGGGAAACACTGTGTGTCCCTCCAGGGGATTTGATTTTTGGGTAAGAACAGTCCATGATGTTGAATTGTATAATATTGTTTACTGACTGACACTCCCACTGTGTGCCGTAACTCCCATGAACAAAGAGGTCTTTCCTTAGGTACATGTTCTTATTTTCTATGGTTTTGATGTTTTCTTTAAAAAAAAAAATTATGTTTACATTTCCTCCTTCTTCAGTAGTCCCCATCTTGTGTGTCCCACAGACTTGGTCTAAGTGGGGAGTCTGGTATTGTATTCTCTGTGCCACTGATGATGACCCTCTGGGATCTGCCCTTCATCCCCTTCTCAGCTCTGCTTCTTTCCCTGACTGTTGGTGTGCACAGTCTGGGACCTGCCACACCCTGTCCTTGCAGAGCAGCTGGACTAAGCTCTGCTGCCCTTCTGTGTTTCTCACATGGGTGGGTCCCCCACTCCAAGTCACGAGACTCGGGCAAAGTCTGCTCCTCTCCACTCCAGTCTCTTCTCTCTTCTATTGCCCTTCTCCTTGGGAGGTGAGACCTCCCATTCCATGGGCACCACAGCCCAGGCTGACACTGCTTTTCACACCCATGCCCAACTCTTCCTCTTTGAGAGCAGCAAATGCAGATGAGAAAATATGAGGAGAAAATATGAGGAGAGGCTGAGGGAGCTGGGGTTGTTTAGTCTGGAGAAGAGAAGGCTTAGAGGTGACCTCATCACTCTCTTCAACTACCTGAAGGGAGGTTATGGCCAGGTGGGGCTTGGTCTCTTCTCCCAGGCAACCAACAATAGGACAAGGGGACATGGGCTCAAGCTCTGCCAGGGGAGGTTTAGGTTAGATGTTAGGAAGAAATTCTTTACAGAGAGGGTAATCAGGCATTGGAACAGCCTACCCAGAGAGGTAGTGGATTCACCATCCCTGGAGGTTTTTAAGCAGAGATTGGATGTGGCCCTTAGTGCCATGCTATAGTAATTGGAGTTGGATCAGGGGTTGGACTTGATGATCTTGGAGGTCTTTTTCAACCCAATCTATTCTATGATTCTATGATTCTAAGGTATGAATGGATGATGTTGCCCCAGGGCATGAAAAATTCCCCTACTCTCTGTCAACTGTATGTTGATGCAGCTCTACAGCCTTTGCAGGCAGCATGGCCTGATGTTATTGTTTATCATTATATGGACGATATTCTTTTTGCCAGTCCAGTGCCGCTTGGCAGCCAACAGAAACAGCACATCATTTCTACATTCCATATGTATGGTCTAGCCATAGCTCTGGAAAAAATCCAGGAGAGTAGTCCCTGGCGGTACCTGGGTTGGACCATCACTAATTCTCACGTGCGACCTCAAAAACTGTCACTTAGCCTCGAGCTAAGAACCTTACATGATGCCCAAAAGCTGCTAGGTGAATTACAATGGCTTCGTCCTGTCATAGGCATCCCAAAAGACATCTTAGACGGCCTTCGGCCCCTTCTTAGGGGCACAGATCCATCCTCAGCTGTTACGATCACTCCCAAGCAACGAGACCTGCTAAAATTAATAGCACAGATGGTGGTCACTCATACCACACATCGCCTCCAGTTAAATCAACCATTGAACCTCACTATTCTGAATAGTAACGGACATTTTCTTGCAGCCATTACTCAAAACAAAAACAGGGGAGAAGGATACAGGAATACAAAAAATAATTGTACTGGAATGGCTGGCACCACCATTACAGCCAAAGCGTACCGTACAAGAACAAGTAACTACCTTAGCTGACCTAATCAGGAAAGGTCGCAACCGTATCCTGCAG